AAATTGGTTCATATTGAGGTCAAAAGGGTCCAAAATTAAACTTAGTTTGATTTTAACAAAAATTGAATTCTTGGGGTTCTTTGATATGCTGAATCTAAACATGTGTTTAGATTTTTGATTATGGGCCCAGTTTTCAAGTTTGTCTAAGTTGGGGTCCAAAATTAAACTTTGTTTGATTTCAACAAAAATTGAATATATGGGGTTCTTTGATATGCTGAATCTTACCATGTATTTAGATTTTTTATTTGTGGGCCCGCTATCAAATTGGTTCATATTGAGGTCAAAAGGGTCCAAAATTAAACTTTGTTTGATTTCATCAAAAATTGAATTATTTGGGTTCTTTGATATGCCAAATCTAACCGTGTATTTAGATTTTTAATTTTGGGTCCCGTTTTTTAAATTGGTCTACATTAAGGTCCAAAGGGTCCAAAATTAAACTGAGTTTGATTTTAACAAAAATTGAATTTTTGGGGTTCTTTGAAATGCTGAATCTATACATGTGTTTAGATTTTTGATTATGGGGCCCGTTTTCAAGTTGGTCCAAGTTGGGGTCCAAAATAAAACTTTGTTTGATTTCAACAAAAATTGAATATATGGGGTTCTTTGATATGCTGAATCTAAACATGTATTTAGATTTTAGATTTTTGGCCCAGTTTTCAAGTTGGTCCAAATTGGGGTCCAAAATTAAACTTTGTTTGATTTCAACAAAAAATGAATATATGGGGTTCTTTGATATGCTGAATCTTACCAGTATTTAGATTTTTTATTTGTGGGCCCGCTATCAAATTGGTTAATATTGAGGTCAAAAGGGTCCAAAATTAAACTTTGTTTGATTTCATCAAAAATTGAATTATTGGGGTTCTTTGATATGCCAAATCTAACATTGTTTTTAGATTTTTAATTTTGGGTCCTGTTTTTTAAATTGGTCTACATTAAGGTCCAAAGGGTCCAAAATTAAACTTAGTTTGATTTCAACAAAAATTGAATATATGGGGTTCTTTGATATGCTGAATCTAACCATGTATTTTGATTTTGGACATTGGACCATAATAGGTAAATTAAAAAAATTGAAGTTCTTAGACCACATTCTTTCTGTGTCAGAAACCTATGCTGTGTCAAATATTTAATCACAATCCAAATTCAGAGCTGTATCAAGCTTGAATGTTGTGTCCATACTTGCCCCAACTGTTCAGGGTTCGACCTCTGCGGTCGTATCAAGCTGCGCCCAGCGAAGCATTTTATATACTCATGTGGTATGCTTTTTGTCGAGCCTTCGACTTTTGTCGAAAAAGCGAGACATAGCGATCCTACATTCCGTCGTTGGCGTCCACAAATATTCACTCTGTGGTTAAAGTTTTTGAAATTTTAATAACTTTCTTAAACTATCCTGGATTTCTACCAAACTTGGGCAGAAGCTTGTTTATGATCATAAGATTATATTCAAAAGTAAATTTTGTAAAAAAAAAAGTCCATTTTTTCCGTATTTTACTTATAAATGGACTTAGTTTTTCTGCCAGGAAACATTACATTCACTCTGTGGTTAAAGTTTTTGAAATTTTAATTACTTTCTTAAACTATCCTGGATTTCTACAAAACTTGGAAAGAAGCTTGTTTATGATCATAAGATAGTATCTAGAGGTAAATTTTGTAAAAAAAAAATTCCATTTTTTCCGTATTTTACTTATAAATGGACTTAGTTTTTCTGCCAGTTAACATTACATTCACTCTGTGATTAAAGTTTTTAAAATTTTAACAACTTTCTTAAACTATCCTGGATTTGTACCACACTTGGACAGAAGCTTGTTTATGATCAAAAGCTAGTATCTAGAAGGAAACTTTGATAAAATTTTGTTCCATTTTTCCGTATTTTACTTATAAATGGACTTAGTTTTTCTTCCAGTTAACTTTACATACAGTCTGCAGTTAAAGTTTTAAACTCATTTATTAGATTCAAATACCATCCTGGATTTTTACCAAACTTGGACAGAAGCTACTTACAATCAAAAGATAGTATAGAGAGGAATATTTTTATTAATTTTTTTCCTCATTTTTGTTGAGCCTGCGATTAACAGCAAAAGTAGGTGAGACACTGGGTTCCGCGGAACCCTTACGAATTTTTGTAACTTTTCTTTACATTTAAAGTACATTTAATATATATGGAAGAATAATGTATGGTTAAAAAACTTCAAAAACTTCAAATTGGTTGAAAAAAATGCATGTTTATGTAAGGCTTCCCTTAATTCGAAAATCTCTATTTTCAGGCACAGGCTCATAAGAATTTGACTTTTGAATAACTGTGATAAATCTGATAAATCAAATGAGTGTTTCGTTGATTTTAATACTTATTATATTATATTCAAGAGTATTTAAAAAGCAAATTTTTGCAATATTTAAATTTTTTAGGCCAAAATCTTGACAGTTGAAAATATTTGATTTAAACGTCAAAAATAAACATCCAAATTTCAATATTAAAATGACCCTAGTTTCTATAATATATATCCTATGGCCATGAAACTTGTCCAACTATCTTATAATTTCCTAAGCTTAAGTCATGCAAAGTTTTATTAAAATTGGTCAAGTCTTTCTATCCTATTAGGTCCAAGGACACAGTTATCGTCCTTTGGTTTTCGTTGTCTACGAATATAGTCCCTAGTGTGAACAGTGTATAACTTGCATTTTTTTTTTATGCACTTTCCCAATTTATTTCTTGATATTTTATGCATGAAATATTAAGTAAGGGGATGAAATTACATGTTAAAAAAATTTGGGTGCTGAATCTTTATGTTAAGTAGTGATTTGGTCCAGTAAAAAAAGGTCAAAAATTAGAGAATGTCTGAAGCTGTCAAACTGAAATTTAGCCCCCTTTAACACAGAATTGTCATTATTTTGAGTTAGAGCTGGTAGAAGTTTCTATAATTTTGATATTATTTGTATCAATAGTAGTACACTACACTGTAAAAATCTTTTTGAGATAGAGCAGGTGCGATTTTTTTAATTTGAATTTATTGTCTAAAAGAAATGCACTATGAAATAACTGTGTTCTCGGGCCTAAAAATATACAGGGGCTGCGACAAAGTGAAAAACACAATCGTATATGTGTAGTAACCTATTATGTATGAAAGGCCATCACATGAAGTAATGTGAAACAATTCAAAAGAGAAAAACAATGCCTTGATTTTTTTTAAAAAACGTGACAAATTAGCAAAAGTATAGCAGACAGCAACCAAGCCTCATTTTTGAGATCTTGCCTTTTACATTTCGATATGAGGCTTTAGCCAAAAAGATTTTTTGCTACAAGATTTCTTGTACAAAGATATCAAACTTGGTAAAATATCACTTTAGATAAGGCCTCATACTTATTTTGCCAGAGACATGATAGTGACATCAAAACTAATATATAATTACATTGATTGTTCACTAAATTCAATGACTATTGTCATTTCTCTGGGTTTTTAGAATGGGGCATCAATCTGAATTTGAGGCAAATTTTAAAACCATAGATGTTTAAATGACTTCAGAGAGTATCAAACAGCCTTTCATACCGCCTGACAGCAGTGTACCAGCACAACATAAACACCCTTTCATACCGCCTGACAGCGGTGTACCAGCACAACATAAGAACAAACTATAAAAATCAAGTTCTGTTTAAAAAAAATCTAAATATTAAAAAAATATTGGTGCTAATTAAATGATTATATACACAAGACCATGAAGATCATTTGAAACCAGTTTACCTTAACTAAGTTATAAATTGGAATGAATATAAATTCAACCACTGCATGCAGTGTGATACAACATTTCTCCACTTGAGACAGTTACATTTTTTACTTCAAAACTTGAGACTTAGTGTAGTGTTTGAGCATTTAGAATTTGACTGTTGAGAGTGGAGAAATATTGCTTGAGATTCGGTGGTGGAATCTTTGCCTCAATATATATAATGGTGAGTGATGGGAAGCAATATGTAGACAAACTTTATATTTCTTTTTCAATGATCTCTAACATTATGTGTTCTTTTTATGTGACATCATCAGACATGGTTGCCTTTTTTTGTGACATCAACATAGAGAATTCACAGGAAAACATATCATGATTGAATTTTGACCAAGGAAGAATTCATATTGTGAACAATCAACAGGTCGGGAAAGAGCTAAGAATTAGACAAAGTTATAATTAAGATAGTGATTATCAAGATAGACGAATTTCTTCCTGTTACAATATTCTATAATGGTTAAAACATTTGTAATCAAATTCATTAAGGTTAAAACACTGATTAATAACTGGAAGTATAGGAGATACTAGATATTTTGGTTAAAATCTTGCTTCATTTTATGGTTATCAATTTTGGATTTATGATAAAATCCTATAAAAAAATGAGCAGAAAATAAATCCATAAAAAAAATATGGTTTCGCAGAATTTTTATTTTTTGATATGTTTGTGTTTTTATGGCAGAAAAACTGGAGTTTCAAATTAATATGCAATTTTCCAAATGAAGAATTTGATATTGTTGAAATAAAAGCAGAAATTATAATGATCAACACAGGTGATGAAAAAGTTGTAAAATTATCAAACAGCTACATTGCTTCAATAATTTTATGAATTTATTTTCTCCATAAAAGTAGAAATCTCTTGATCTGATCATGAATTTTACCGTTATTGTCACACCCCTACCTGACAGAGCCAATCACCTGATTAATTACTGATCGCCTAACCCAGCCCACAGGCAGATTGCAGGTGATACATCTCTTTCTTGTCAAAACTTTTTATTGATTTTTCACTGCATGTTTTATAAATGTAGCAAATGGAAAATAGACTTCAATAGATACAGCATATTTGAAAAGTGAAACTTCCTTTGTATTTGACTGTAAAAGCATTTAAATTCCCTGATATATATCTTATAGAGAGATATTGTAATTTAATAGAAAGATTAACTACAATATTGTTTGTACTTTTGAAAAGTTTTTTTTTCTTTAACAAGAGTGAATTTGATTGGTTATTTCAGGAGAGATGACGGAAACTGAACTCCAGGTAGATAATACTGGTAAGTTAATATTTATTTTTTTTATTTTATTTACTAAGATATAGAAAAAATTAAATTAATTTCTATTAAATGAAATAGTATTATTAGTTTTTCAGTTTATTCAGTTTTCTGAACATTTATATGTAGCAATATTTAAAATGTTTTTACAAATCAAATTTCAACATGTTCATTCTTCAAACTTTTAAGTTGGACTTTTTCTAAATTTTAATTTTCAGAACTGTCATATTATTTGATAATCAAGATAGCAAGAGAAAAAACGCATTATTTCATAGATAGAGAAATGACAGTAATTTAGTGTATGTTCATGTTTTTGACATATGAAATGGATTTAAAAAGTTCTTTTGGTATCTAAAACATAATATAAAAAAAAAGACTTTTCATTTGTACATAGTAAACTCTATTGTTTTCAGATAGAAAATTGAAAATCTTTCCAGAATTTTATTTTTTGTGTAATTTTACATACAATACAATAAAGCCATAATTGAAATTGTACCTGAAGAAAATGAAGTTCTTCAACATTATTTATGTTTGGTTGATTAGATAATGAATTATAAAGGTAAATTGTAACAATTTAGTAACACCTTTTTGTAGGACCATCATTTTTGGTTGTCATATTTATGTTATGGATGTGTTAACAGCAATGTCTATCTGCAGACAATTTTTTTTTTACCATATGCCAATAAGACTGATCCTTCGGAAATTTGAATACAATGTTCATTTGCACAAAACAAAATGAAAGCTGCCAATGGTATAGATTTAATGATTTTTATTGATATTTTGTGCATGGATGGATCTGTGACCCAAGATGGTGTGTCTCATACCATTAAAAATGAATCTAACCTGAACATTGAACCTGTCAAATATTTTATATTTTTAGGGACATAACCCTGAAAACCGTAAATTATTGTTTCCAATGACCTTGTCGGTGCACCCTAGGATTTGGCCATTTTTGGTGATGATCCTGCTCCTCTTCATAACTCCAAAACTGTACCCCACTCCTAAACCATATATATTCCTAATTGTAATGGCATGACTTTTATAGTGTACCATAGGTGTTGTCTCTAGGGTTGAATGTCCCTGCCCCCATTTTATCCTAATTTGTAAAATATATTTTAAAAACTATTCAGACCCCTACTCCTAATCCAAATATATTCTTGTCATGGAAAGGCCTCTCCTGAGAGTGCACAATAAGTTTTGTTCTTGGGGTCATGCCCGCTGCCCCTTATATTCTGAATTGCCATAACTGTAATAAATTCTTCCTTATGCACCTCTGAATGATTTTTTGTGGTTTCGCATACTAAAACATGAACTTAATTAGCCATTTCTTCTTATATTAGTGTGTTAAACTACAACTCCAGGAACAATTTTTATAAATTGTCACCAACTTTTCTAGAACTTGAAGTTGTTCAATTTCCATTTAAATTGATGATATGATCAATATCTGGGGTTTACCATACCAAAACATGGACTTCCCCATTTCTGCAAATATTATTTGGAGACAACAGGTGACATTTAAGTCTTTGGAAGACTCGCACATTTTAAGTGTTTTACAAGACTTTTATATGCAAACTAGATGTAAGGAGATGTGGCATGATGAAAGCATTTACACACATATATATCCATACATGGAGAGAATGCTCTGATGTGTAATAAAATCATTTAAAAGTGTTTCGATTCCTACATTGTTTGTATGCAGTACTGAAGAAAAACCATTTTATACATTCTTAAGATACAGTATAACTTATACCCAAAAAGCTGGGCTTGTAAAGTATCTAGTAAATACAGAATAATAGGAATGGTATACTCACATACTAGATGTGTTGTTGATTAGGACAAATTTATGTATTTTCATGCTGGCGATTCAGAGTTCATTATGAACTTATGAAGGAAGCAGTCATTAATTTTTTATGCTTAATCTGTTTGTAATATCATCTGTTTGTTTTCTCTCTACAAACATTCAGTAATCTGTTTAATAGGTTGGAGTAAACAGTTAAGTTTACCAATGTTCAAAATATCACATTAACTCCTAACAGAGGAAAACTAAACCTGAGGGTATCACATTAACTCCTAACAGAGGAAAACTAAACCTGAGGGTATCACATTAACTCCTAACAGAGGAAACCTAAACCTGAGGGTATCACATTAACTCCTAACAGAGGAAACCTAAACCTGAGGGTATCACATTAACTCCTAACAGAGGAAAACTAAACCTGAGGGTATCACATTAACTCCTAACAGAGGTAAACTAAACCTGAGGGTATCACATTAACTCCTAACGGAGGAAAACTAAACCTGAGGGTATCACATTAACTCCTTAAACAGAGGAAAACTAAACCTGAGGGTATCACATTAACTCCTAACAGAGGAAAACTAAACCTGAGGGTATCACATTAACTCCTAACAGAGAAAAACTAAACCTGAGGGTATCACATTAACTCCTAACAGAGGAAAACTAAACCTGAGGGTATCACATTAACTCCTAACAGAGAAAAACTAAACCTGAGGGTATCACATTAACTCCTAACAGAGTGACACTGGGTACATTGACTGAGGGTATCACATTAACTCCTAACAGAGGAAAACTAAACCTGAGGGTATCACATTAACTCCTAACAGAGTGACACTGGGTACATTGACTGAGGGTATCACATTAACTCCTAACAGAGAAAAACTAAACCTGAGGGTATCACATTAACTCCTAACAGAGTGACACTGGGTACATTGACTGAGGGTATCACATTAACTCCTAACAGAGAAAAACTAAACCTGAGGGTATCACATTAACTCCTAACAGAGTGACACTGGGTACATTGACTGAGGGTATCACATTAACTCCTAACAGAGAAAAACTAAACCTGAGGGTATCACATTTACTCCTAACAGAGTGACACTGGGTACATTGACTGAGGGTATCACATTAACTCCTAACAGAGAAAAACTAAACCTGAGGGTATCACATTAACTCCTAACAGAGTGACACTGGGTACATTGACTGAGGGTATCACATTAACTCCTAACAGAGAAAAATTAAACCTGAGGGTATCACATTAACTCCTAACAGAGTGACACTGGGTACATTGACTGAGGGTATCACATTAACTCCTAACAGAGAAAAACTAAACCTGAGGGTATCACATTAACTCCTAACAGAGAAAAACTAAACCTGAGGGTATCACATTAACTCCTAACAGAGTGACACTGGGTACATTGACTGAGGGTATCACATTAACTCCTAACAGAGAAAAACTTAACCTGAGGGTATCACATTAACTCCTAACAGAGTGACACTGGGTACATTAACAGGGTAGGTGTCTCTTGCTATATGCATGCATCACTTGCCATCTGAATCCACCGTGACTCAGTCAAAATGTCACAACTAAGGGAATAGGATCACTTGCCATCTGAATCCACCATGGCTCAGTCAAAATGTCACAACTAAGGGAATAGGATCACTTGCCATTTGAATCCACCGTGACTCGGTTAAAATGTCACAACTAAGGGAATAGGATCGTGACTTGCCATTCAAATCCACCGTGACACAATTAAAAGTTTAGAGGCTAGATTTTGTTACATAACTACCATTTGTATTACTATGAATTTATGAACAGACATATTCCACATGAATTGACTCAAAGTTGATTAAATGTAAAACAGCTAACCATATTAACAGGCCTAGAAAAATTTGGACTCATGACTCCTTTACGAAAACTTTTAAATTTAAATGCAAAAGTTTCTTTTAGGTTGATAAACTCAGAGCTCCAGATAAGAATTCACAAATTGGGGTTTTTACCCACCATTTTTTTATATAATTGGGTGATAAAGTTTTTTAATTGCATTATCAATTCCAATTCACCCCTCAAGCAAATATCAAATTGGGTTTTTCACCACCAAGCTCCTTAATGTATTGGGTTTTTCATCAACACAATATTGAATATTTAGGCATGTTATAATCACATTATATCAACCCCAGATAGGTTTCCATCTTAAATGTGTTTCTTTCTTTGTAGAATATGTGCTAGCTGTTTTATTTGGTTTATTCACTGACGAGCAATTGTACATTTAATTTGTGTACCGTTTTAAACGTTCTGTCAGTTTTGTATTTTCTCAAAACTTATGTAAACTGCAGCTGGTGTCACTAGTTGGACAGGAACTAATTGCCTTTCTAGATCCCATATGATCACCCTACAGTTTAATTATAGTTGGGGTAGGTGTGACTAAGTGTTTAGATTTTTGTGTAATATATGCGAAATTTAGGTGCTGTAAGAAAGTTTTGCCAGTCCTTTCACCTTTTTGCCAGATCTACTTTTTAATAAAAATGAAAAGTAGTTTCCAGATTTAAGATATACCCCCAAAACCTTGAGGTTTATAGGGTGGTTTATATAATGACGGGAGACCACATTCAACTTAAATTTACAAATAATTCTGCAACATCAAGTAAATAAATGACAATGTTATACTGCACTTGCCAATAAGACAACTATCTTAAGCATCTAGAACAATAAGACCAAAAACAAAGAAAGTGTCAAGCTGCATTGACGTAAAAACGGATATGTGTATTCACTCATCAACTAAAATGAAAAAAATAATATATAAACTGTTTTCGTTTAATTCAATTTACATAAATCTGAGTTAAGTTGTCCCTTATCAGAACTTGTGGTTTCCGATGCTTTCAAACTACATATCATGTCATAATTGATTTGGCCTTTCACTTTTTCCAACTGATTTCTTTTTTGACGGAACCCCGTGTTTATCGCTCTAGCAATGTTCTCGTTATGGTACGCAAACACGCCCGTGCGTTCAATTGCCGCTTCCTAAAATCACTAGCTGAGTCTTGTTATCATCATAACTTTCCCTCAGCTATCAAAAAGAAGCCGAAAACATGCTTCTATTCAATATTTTTACCGGACATTTACTTTCGTTTTAATTCATTGTATGTTATGATAATGCCCGAGCAATTCGAAAAAATATGACAGCATGTCACACGCTAATTGGATAAACGC